CGTGGACTTTGTCATTCCCAACCATCCGGTGGCGTTGGGCCCCGTTTTGAAAAGACAGGGGCCCCGCATTCCCACTCCTCCTCCTCCTCCTCCTCCTCCTCCTCCCTGCCTCTGCTCTCCGCATGCCCACAATCCCACCAGCCCTCTGGGCGTCGGTGGTTTAGAGCGTTTCCTCTTCCACCCCTCCTTCTTCCACTTCGGGGAGGGGTTTACCCCTCCCCCTACCCCCTGCACGCTGACCTGGACAGAGGGTTCCGCGGCGCGCTGGGGCGCCCACGATCGACCCCTGGGAAGGCTAAAATTCGACACCCCTCACAAGGATCGTGGCTCCTGGGGGGGGACTCTAATTAAGGAACCCCTCTTCTTTGATCGATTTCCTCCACGATGGCCGCAAGAGGCCCCCAGGATGCCCCAAGAGGCCGCAGGATGGCCCCAAGATGACCCCAAGAGGCCCCCCAAGAGGCCCCCAGGAGGCTCCCAAGAGACCCCCAAGAGGCCCCAAGAGACCCCCCAGAGGCACTCAAGGTGCTCACAGAGGCCCCAAGATGGCCCCAAGAGGCCCCAAGAGGCCCCAAGAGGCCCCCAGGAGGCCCCAAAGAGGATCCCGAACGGCCCACAGAGGCCCCCCCGAGGCACCCAAGACGCCGAAAAGCCTCTCAGGACGACCCTCTACTCGCCTGGGCGTCGTTTCTGGACGGGCTGGTGGGGATACGCGAAGCGTCTAGAATTTCGGAGCACCCCTCGCGATGATCGTGGCCCCATAGGGAGCCCCACAAAAAGGCCCTAATGGCGCAGGCCGCATGCGCCCGACGCCCATTTTGGCTCACCCCTCACACGGTTCGTGGAGCTCCACCGAAGGCCCCAGTGGCGCAGGCCGCACGTGGCCGACGCCCCGATTTCGGCACACCCCTCACACGGTTCGTGGTCACGTAAAAGGAGCTCCACCGAAGGCCCCAGCGGCACAGGCCGCGTGCACCCGACAGCCGTTTTGGCACACCCCTCATCCTGACCCTACATCGAGTTCCGCCGAAGGCCCCAGCGGCGCAGACCGCATGCGCCCGTAGCCAAATTTGGCACACCCCTCGCACGGTTGGTGCCCCCATAGGGAACTCCACAAGAGGCCCCAGCCGACGTTCACGTGGACACACCCCTCACACGGTTCCTGCCCTTGTAGGGAGCTCCACCCGAGGCCCCAGTGGCACAGGCCGCATGCGCCCGTCGCCCATTTTGGCGCACCCTTCATACGGCTCGTGGCCGACGCCCCAGTGGCACAGGCCGCATGCGTCCGTCGCCCAATTTGGCACACCCCTCACACGGTTCGTGGCCCCGTGCACCCATAGGGAGCTCCAGCGAAGGCCCCAGTGGCGCAGGCCGCATGCGCCTGGAGTTCATGTGGGCACGCCCCTCACACGGCTCGTGGCGCCATAGGGAGCTCCGCCAAGGGCCTCAATGGCACAGGCCGCATGCACCCGACGCCCATTTGGGCACACCCCTCGCACGGCTTGTGCCCCCATAGGGAATTCCACCCAAGTGCCCAGTGGCACAGGCCGCGTGCGCCCGACGCCCATTTTGACAAACCCCTCGCACGGTTCGTGGCCCCATAGGGGGCTCCACCGGAGCCCCAGTGGCACAGGCCGCATGCGCCCGTCGCCCATTTTGGCACACCCCTCACACGGTTCTTGGCGCCATAGGGAGCTCCACCAAGGGCCCCAGTGGCACAGGCCGCATGCGCCCGACGCCCATGCTGACAACCCCTCACAAAGCTCGTGGCTCCATATGGAGCTCCACCGAAAGCGGTACCCACAACGCGATATTCACAATTGCGCATGGTTGGGTTCTTCGCCATGATATTTTTTTCCTGATGGGGATTTGTTTTACCAGTTATGACTTTGATAAGCGATTGCGCGCGCCCAATATTATTTGACAGGGAGGACGGGGATCGAGAAGGGCGTCCCGAGGGATGGTTCAATTTCAAACGCAAAACGTACGAGTAAACAGAATCATGCGTCCTTCGCAAAATGTCGCCGCTGTGCTGCTTTGCTGCTGCAGCCACGATTGTGCTTTCTTGATTCGCCCCGACTCCGGTTTCCCAGGCCTCCTGGGAATTTCCAGGAGCTCTCGCGGTATGTCGCGTGCGTGCTGGACATCAGACTGGAGGCCGCCAAGACGGCCCATGAGGGCCCCAAGTCGCCTCACGATCGCTCCCGGATGCCCCAAATGGCCTCCAGATGGCCAATGGCCAATGAGCCCCAAGAGCACCCCCCCAGAGGGGCCTAAGAGGCCAACTTCATGTATGGTCCGTTGGTTACTGCAGGAGCTAACCCTTCTCACCTTTTCAGCTTCCAATGCCCCAGGACAGCCCAAGAAGCCCCCAATAGCGACCCAGGACTCCCAGGAGCCCCCCAGGAGTGCCCCAAGACGCCATAAGAGGGCTCCAAGATGGCCAAACAGGCCCCAAAGACAGCCCAAGAGGCAGCCAAGAAGGCACCAAGAGGAGGAGCACGTACTCACATGTGGAGCCTTCCGCCCCAAGATGGCCAGTAGAGCCCCCAGGAGACTCCCGAGGCCCCCCCAAGCCCCCACAAAGCCCCAAGGAACCCTGCAAGAGTCCCCCGAGAGGATTCCCAACCTCAGACACATCCAAGATACATCTGAACACCAGCCCAGACATTGTGGCGGGATATACCGAAGTCGTATGTGTATTTATATATATATATATATATATATGTATGTATGTGTGTCCTGCTGTCTCTCTCCAGACATGGATATGGAAGTACCTACACATAAAAAACATGATAGTACGACATAAATGCGTACTCATGTACATACACATGCATATGATACCGGAGCAAAAACCCAATCAGGGCTATCGGGCTGGGGGGGCTATAGGGCTATAGGACTATTGATCTATAGGGCTATAGAGCTATAGGGCTATAGAGCTATAGGGCTATAGGGCTATAGGGCTATAGGGCTATAGGGCACCCGGGGGCACGCCCGGGCACCCGGGCACCCGGGCACCTGGGCCCCCCTGGGCCCCCCCCGGGCACCTGGGCCCCGGACAACCCCGGGCCCCCGGGCAACCCCGGGCATCCGGGCGTGCAGCGAAAATCGGCGACAAACCCAACCTAACCATATGAATCCGCTAGGACCCCTACAGAGGCAAGATCTGATTGGGGAACATACAAATATGTGTGTATGTATACAAACATATGCGCACAGGCAAGCATACATGCATACATACATACACACATGAATACGAACGAACGTGCGTACATACATACACACGCATGCATGCATACATGCATACGTACACACAATCATACGTACATGAACGCAACACAAACGCAACCATGCATCCATACATGCATGCAGTGATACACCTTTAATGCATACATGCACACATATACATACATTCACGCATACAACCATTCACACATGCATTCATCCATCCATGCACACGTACATACATATATACACATTACATGCGTGTACATATACAAACATACACGTGCGTGCATACACACTTACATATAAACATACGTACGCACATATACACCCACACACATACATACATGCACGCATGCATACATACCTACACACCTACGCACACATACTTACGTATTTAAATGTATATATATATGTATGTATACATGTGTTCATGCATACGTCCATACATAGATGCATACGTACAAACGTGCGTGCGTACGTGCGTACGTACGTAGAGGCATTAAGACACACACATATACGCATACATCGTCACATACACACATACTACGTACATGCATATATGCATACATGCACACAGACGTGCAGACATACAAACATGCATCCATGCATACATACGACATGCATACATGCATATATGCATATCTATTTATATATATACTATGTATGTATATATCTATATATACTCACGCACAAAATTGAAATAAATGAAGCAAATCTCCCGCAACACAGTTTGTCTGCCAATGGTGGCGATGCAGAGAGACTCTGCGATTACATGATGTGTCCTGCTCAAGTACCTGACCGGGCCGTCCTGGTCGTGCGGCGGAAGCCGCCAGGAGCCCATGACCGTCGTCAAGACATCCCGAAATTCATTCAACTTTGTGGCGGCACGCGTCGACACGCTGCCTATGTGGAGGCTGGTAGGCTGCCGCGCAAAGGAAGCTGTCGCCAATGCTAGCCCAACCAGCTGCGATGTCGAGACTGCACGCCGCCTCTCTCCGAGCCTCCGGCGTCTCAGCGCAGCCTGCTCGCTTGCTGGGCGCCAGTCGTGGTCGGGCTTGAGGCGGCAAGGAAGCGCGTTCGGGCCAGCAGGGCCCAGCTTCCACGGGCGCTGCAAACAGAACCGTCCCGCCATGCGCTCCACTCCGCGACGAGACCAGCCTCGCCTCTGCCACCGCGCCGCCCGAGCCTGCACGCCCTGGCTGGAACGCCTCCCCACTCAACCTGCACCGCCACCCGGCCCCGACCGTGAGCCCGACCCCTGCCACAGCTCTCCGCCCTCGCCTCCACCTCCTCACCCAGCTCCCGCCCCCCCCACCAAACCACCAACCTCTCCCTGTCCCCTCCCCCAACCTATCTCCGACCTCCAGCTCCACCGCCCCCGCCTCAGGAGGAGGAGGAGGAGGAGAAGAGCCAGGCTGAGGACGAGAGGGATGATGATGATGATGATGATGATGATGATGATGATGATGATGATGATGATGCTGATGCTGATGCTGATGCTGATGCTGATGCTGATGCTGATGATGATGATGATGATGATGATGATGATGATGATGATGAGACGGGAGGAGGCAGGAGGCAGCAGGATGGGGAGAGGCAGGAGGGAGAGGAAAACGGGGCAAACTGGCAGTGGAAAGAGGAGGGAGGAGGATGAGGAGGTTGAGGAGGCTGATAATGATGATGATGATGATGATGATGAGGAGGAGGAGGAGGAGGAGGAGGAGGAGAAAGGGGGCAGCCCCGCTCTTTTCCCTCTCTGCCCCCCAGCTGGCCTCCTGGTTCCTGTCGTATATCGCGATGGCCCCGCCGGAGATCCCACCAGACGCCATCCCGGCGGGCCCCCCGTCGCCGCGCGGGCGCCCCTGCGAGCGGATGGAGAAACGCGCGAGGAGAGCCTGCCGTGCACTTCCCAGCGCTCCGCATCACCATCATCGACATCCACATCCACATCCCCATCCAATCTCCATCCCCATCCTCCTCCTCCTCTTCCTCCTCCTCCCCCTCCTCCTCCTCATCATCATGATCATGATGACGATGATAATCAGCATCATAATCATCGTCGTCATCATAATCATAGGCATCAACATCAGCGTCAGGATCATCCTCATCATCACCGATAACAACAGCAACAACTTCATCACCATCAGCACCATCAACCTCTTCATCCTTATCATTATCGTCGCCATCATCATCAACGTCATCATGATCGTCATGAGCGTGATCATCATCATCATCATCATCATCATCATCATCATCATCATCAACAGCATCACCACCATAACCACAACCACCACCATCATCATCAGCATCATAGTCGACGTCGCCGTCGTCAGTATCTTTATCCTCAGCATCATCTCGTCATATTCATCTGCATCTTCATCTCCATGTTGATCTTCATCAGCAACATCATCTCCATCCCTATCTCCATATCCATCCTAATGTGTTTCTTCCCCATCATCGTCAGCATCAACCTCATCATCATCATCAACAACACCATCATCATCAGCATCGTCATCGCCATCGTCATCATCATCATTACCATCCTTATCATCACCATCATCAACATCGCCATCAGCAATATCATCAGTACAATCAGCAGCTTCAGCATCAGCATCAGCATCAGCATCAGCATCAGCATCATCACCATGGTCACCACGGTCATCATCAGCATAAGCATCATCATCAACATCATGATCGCCAGCATCATCATCATCATCATCATCATGGCCACCAGCATCATCATCCTCATCATCATCAGCAGCATCATCAACTTCAGCACCATTTACCTCATTCCCATCACCATCATCAGCATCATCATTGTGATCATCATCATCGTCATCAGCATCACCATCGTCATCTGCGCAAGCATTAACCTCAACATCAGCATTATCATGAGCAGCAACATCAGCATGAGCAGCATCATCATCCGAATCAGCGACACATTCATCATCATCAGCAGCATTAACGTCGTCATCAGCATCAGCATCACCATCATAATCATCACCAATATCATCGTCGTCATAATCATTGTTAATTATTGTTATCAGCATCATTAGCATCACCATCAACATCATCAAGATCAACATCATCCGCATCCGCATCCGCACCGTCATGCTCATCCACATCATCACCAACATCATCATCATCATCATCATCAGCATCGCCATCATCATCAGCATTAGCATCATCTTCACGATTATCATCATAACAATCAGCACCAACCATAACAGCATCACCATCATCACCATGGCTTCTACCAACACCACCAACAACATTATCATCACTACTATCATGTTCGGCGTTATCGTCGTCGTCGTCATCACCTAGTACTCAGCATCATTGTCGCCATCATCATCAGTAGCGCTGTCACCATTACCACCATCATCATCATCAACAACAACAACATCATCATATGCATGATCATCGTCGACGCCTTCATCCACCTCCTCCCTGTCGTCATCGTCCGCCTCATTCTACATCCATGTCCGATTTCTCCCTCCTAATCTCGGGGAGACGTAAGACTCGGGTACGGGGGACTCGGGTTGGCCCGACGGGGCCATCATAAAAATGACGAGGCCCAATCTGAAATTTGACGCGAGCTCCCGCTGCAGACATCCCACGAAAACTGGACCATCTAAATCCAGGACGCGCTTGTCAAAAAAACGTCGGCAAACCCGAGTTCCGGCTTACTCGGGTCTTGCGTTTCCCCGATAATCCTCAGCCTTCATGTCCCGCCTATGTCGGCGCGGGAACTTTCCAGGGCTTCGCATGCTTGAGATACCCTGGGTAAGGGGTGCACAGCCATTGCGCACGCGGCGGCGGCTTTCCTTGATGTGCTACCCCAAATTCCCCATGATGCTGAACACTTGTGTACGGCACGCTGCCGGTGTTCTGAGAATGCAGAGGGTTCCGAGCACTGGGACTGTACAGATGTGGCCCGACTCGGCAAACGGTATGCTGGACTTCGTCATGGAGTGCTACTGCACGAGCGATCGCCAATGCCTGAGGTGTTTCCAGCACCCACCCACAGTGACCGTGCCACGTTGGACATGCTGCCAAGGTCTGACCGCGCATCGGTGTGGGTAACGTGAATGCGGATGCCCTGGCCAAGCAAGCTCTCCTCTCCCACCCATTATTCGGCGCAAATTCTTAGATGTTGTTGTCCGCGTTGTGGGCAGCAAAGTGTTTGATATTGTCCTTCCCGAGGATGGTTACCAGCCTGGACCCCAAACAGTAAGTCATGGCACTGCGGACGCGTGCGCTACATCATATGGTGCAGGCTATGAGCCGGAACGTGTGTGGCGTAAGATATTGTGAGCGACGTGGTGCAAACTATTCATCTGAAGTTGCGTGGTGCAAGCCAGGTAGGGCAGGCGCTGTTGCAAAAGGCTGGCAGTGCCATCGGTGCGGCCGCTCCACGCAACAGGGCGCCATCGAGGCGCCCACGGGCGCACGCGCGAACGCCAGCCGGGCGACACAATCGGCACGCCCACCAGCCGCACGGGGGCGCCCACGCTGCGCACACGGGCGGGTGTAGTATACACCCACCCTGTGGTACGTGGCGCTGTTTATGGCGCGACCCATGGCGAAACTTAAGGTTAACCTGTGTTGGAGTGGCTGGCGCAAGCCATGGCGCAAGCTGAATCGCCACTCGCAGCGCAAATCATCGTCCTTCCTCCGATCCCTTCGTCCTCATTCTCCCCTGCGCACGAGGCGCTCACGGGCAGGCACCAGGCGAAACCTCGAGGCAAACCCACCAAGCGCGCGGGGCGCCCACGAAGCGCCCACCAGGCGGGAACAAGACGAACACGCACGCACGACACGACACGAGGCGCACGCGAGGCGCCCACCAGCTGGCCATCCCGCACACCCAGCCGACACACAGCAGCCCGCTGGGCGCAGGTCGTCTGACGATGTCTTGCGCTCCTCTCCCAAATCCCTCTTCCCTTCGGGGAGGGTGCCCTCCCCCCCTCCCTGAGGCTGTTTGAGTCTGTGGCCGCGATCGGCCACGGTGCACAAGATGGCCCAAGGTGGCCCCAAGAGGGCCTCCGATGCTCCAAGATGACCTCCACACCGGCTCAAATGATACTGGAGAACAACCCCAATCCGAATTTTCTGCGGGCTGCAGGGCTGCAGGGCAATAGGACCATAGGGATATAGGGCAATATGGCAATATGGGCTATTGGGCTATAGCCCATGCAGCCCTAATGGCCTTCTAAGCCTATCGCCCTACATCCCTATAGCCTTGTAGCCCTATTACCCTATTGCCCTATAGCCCTATAGCTCTACAGCCCGATAGCCCTATAGGGCTGTATGGGCTATTGGGCTATATGGGCTATGCAAAGATCGTCATATCTTACTTATGGAAGTTATGTTGATATACCGGCATTACACCTGAAGTTAAACTTACACAACAGCTGACAACCTTACCCAACTGCATGTTAAGTACCACATCTAGCCGATCTTCACAACTGTGAAAGTTAGTGAAGTTAGTGCGAGGTTTTTTGTTCGTTATTCCTGCCCCCCTCCAGCGAATTTCGTTTATGTACATATATATATATATATATATACACGGGTGCAGCCCGTAATTTGATTCTCGCGGGGTACACAGAAAGACTGAACTGAACCACCAGGCCATTAGATGGCACTTTTAAGCAAGCAGGTGAGGATATTTCGGTGGCAGTTTTTATTTCCGCGGGTGAGGATCTTTCGGTGGCAGCTTTAAGCCAGCGGGTGAGGATATGTCGGCGGCAATTTTAAGCCAGCGAGTAAGGATACTCCGGTGGCAGTTTTAAGCCAGCGGGTGGGGATATTTCGGTCGCAGTTTTTGTTTCCGCGGGTGAGGATATTTCGGCGGCATCTTGAAGCCAGCGGGTGAGGATATTTCGGTGGCAGTTTTAAGCCACCGGGTGAGGATATTTCGGTGGCAGTTTTTTTTCCGCGGGCGAGGATGCGGGTGAGGATATGTCGGTGGCAGTTCTAAGCCAGCGGGTGAGGATATGTCGGTAGTAGTTTTAAGCCAGCGGGTGAGGATATTTCGGTGGCAGTTTTAAGCCCGCGGGGGAGGAGGAGGAAGAGGGAGGAACCGAGAAGAACTGTGCTCGGCGCGGGCATCCAGCCACCACGCGGTGCGTCATTCGCGTGATGGGCCCAGCCGACGGCTACGCATCCAGCGCGGAGCTGCGCCCGTATATATGCTTGCCCATTGGCGTGGGCCTGGCGGGGGGCCACGGGGCGAGCTGTCCAATGATTTGAAATGAGCAAAAACGGGAGCGCGAAGAGCATAATTGATCTCAGTCTGGAGCGCAACGCTTCATATATATATATATATATATATATATATATATATATTAATTTATTATTATTATTATTAGTGAGACAAATGGCACGGCTGAGGTAAGCAAAGTTAGGTTTTAGAGTGGTCGAAGTTAGGTTGCAGAGTGGTTGAATATAGTTTGCAAACCAACCATAGTGAACAACTGGATGTCTACCTTCCACAACTTTAACGTAGGTGCCGCAAGAGCAACGTAACTTCCATAAGTAAGATCTGACGGTATCAGTAAGGCTATAAGGGCACCCGGGCACCTGGGCAACCCCGAGCACCTCTGGGCAGCCCGGGGCACCTCCGGGCACCCCCGGGCAGGGCCCGGCCACCGAAATCGGCGACGCAGGTCACCTACACATATGAATCCGCTAGGGCCCCTACAGAGGCAAGCTCTGATTGGGAAATAACCGAAGATGATTCAATATAGCTTCCCATATACCTCCAAGAGGTCCAACGAGGGTCACAAGACGGATCCAAGTAACCTCGGCTCTGAGCGCCACCTCAGGACCACCCAAGATGCCAAAATGAGTTACAGGGCC